CCCCCCAGAACAAGCTCCTACGGGGAGCGGTGGCTTGTCCGTCCCTCCGTGACGTGAGGCTGCCTGGTGGCCTGGCCGAGGCTCTCCTTAGCCACACCCAGCACTGGGCTCAGGGCGGGCGGGATGGGAGAATTCTCTGTGCCTGCCCTGGGAGCTCTGAATCGGTGGCCTGCCTGGAAAGACACGGGCGAGCATCCTGGCCCATACATGAATGCCACCTCTGGGGTGGGGCCTGTCTCTATGGCAACTGTTTCAGCACCGCTGTGCTGCTTTTCTCTCCCTGGTCCTCCAGGGAGACACGGGCCCTGGCCAGGTGGCCGGACAAGCCCTGTGTGCTCTGCAGGGACCCGCAGGGGCTAGTGAACCTGAGCGATAGGGCCTCGTCGGACTTTGCCGGCTCCCGGGCTGATGCTCAGGATCGGCGCAGCGACGGGAACTACTTTGTTAGAAAAGGTGGAAGGACACCTCACAGAAAGTGGCTCTTATGTTCCCCCAGGGGGCCGGCAAAGGAGTCTGTTTCCCTGCTGCCTCCACTCTTTGCTCCAGAATCTATGCTTTCAGTTCAAAACAAGTCTCTGGACCCTTATTTCAGAGAAGAAAAGCCTCCAGTTATGACCGTGAGCGTTGAGAGAGCCTGAAACAATGCAGCAACGGGGTGCTATTTATCCCTGGGGGCGTTCACTCTGGAACCTAATGATGGTCACCAAAATGTCCCTGTTATTAACTATTTCTCTGCTGACAAATTGTGTGAGGAAGGGAAGAGAGGGGTGACTTGCCACCCACTGTGAATGGTGCCTCGTTAGGTCACCATAGAGCTATGCCTAGGCTGTGGGTGCAGTTCGAGTTGTGGGCGGGGCTTCCCCTTTGACCCCTGACCTCTCCGGAGGGCAATAAAAGGCTGTAATAGCCGGAGCAAGGCCTCTGCATGCTCACCGACCGCCTGGGAATCTGTTACGCTCAGTGTGCCTCCCCCTTGTGCTTCCTCTCTGCGTACACAGCAGCAGAGGGATTTGCAGCCTCTCCTGGCCTGGCAGCCGGGGAGCAAAAGAGCTGTCCTGCCTTGCAGAGACAGCACAGCCTGGAGACACAATCCAGGGGGGCTCTAACCCCTAGGCTTTATTTCTCACCGCTCCTTCTTCGAGGAACCGCCCTCCTGCCAGCCTGGCGGGAGAAGGGGAACCCCCGTCCTCATGCTCTGTACTCAAAATAGCTGTCTCTGACTTCTCTCTCCTGGGAGGTCACTCTCTTCCCCGAGGGGAAGGTTTGGTACGTCCGGAGGTTCTCTGGAGACACCCGGAACAAATGCCACTGGGTCTTCGCGCTCAGAGGCGGGCTGGGGAGAAGCAGAAGAGCAGAACGGGGGTTACACGGCTGGGGATCAGCCCCAGGGGAGAGGAAGGGGGAGCCGGGGAGACACGGAGCCCTGCACATGTGGTTCCACGGAGATCATTGGACGCCTACGTGCACACTCGTGCGAATACGGGTCACGTGTGCCGGCCCTAACTGCAGAACTGTTTAGGAGGGTGGGAAAGGGAAAGAAACCCCGTCAGCGACCACGGCTGGAGTCCGTGGTAAATTATAGAATCGCAGAGCACAGGAACTGGTAGGGACCCCGAGAGTAAGGGTGTTAAAATGTGGGTAATTGACCAGGCAACTCCATCAATTTCCATCGACTAGTCGATAGGCACTTCCGCATTCCTCCTTTGAAACGTTCAAGTCCCCCCGCAGGGAACTCGGCTTACCCAGGGCCGGCAGGAAATCCCGCCGCACAGCTGATCCGCAGATCTGCTGTTTGGCGGTTGTCCTTTTAAACCACGCACCCGCGCGATTCAAAGGGCCAGCTGCAGGAAGCCCAGGGTCAGCTGGGGACTCGCGGCGTGTCACACGGGGCGACTCACGCTGTGGTACCTCCTGCTGGGCACGCGGGAAGTAGCTCCGCTCAGTGGAGGAGCGCCCCCTTCTGGCCGGCATCTCATCTACTCTTACCTGAGTATGGCTCTGCCACCTTGTATCAGGCCCTGTGTCCCCTCCAGATGGCGGTGTCCCCCCCCTCCAGGTACTGCACTGCCTCAGGGCCCCCGTGCTCTGGGGTCCTCCCCCTCAGGGAACCCCCAACCCTTATACTCACCTTGCCTCGGTGACCCCTGCCAGTCAGCATCTAGCTCCGGCCTGGGGGCAAACTGCAGCCTGACACGGTTACTCATCACTGGCGTGTGGACCTGCTGCCTCCCTGCACCCCTCAGGCCTTGCCACCTGGGCGCTTGCCTGGCCAGAGCTCCCCAGCTCTGCCTGCCTTTCCCCAGCCCTGCTCTGTCTCAGGAAGGCTCCAGTGTACCTGGCAGCCAGGTCCCTCCTGCCCCCCAGCTGGAGCAAGAGTGAGTGTTTTCCTCCCCTCCAGAAGCCCTTATTTATACAGGCCCTGCCGTGCGGGCAGGGGGCTGGACTTGATGACCTCTCGAGGTCCCTTCCAGTGCGCGGGTTCTAGGATTCCACGATATCCAGTCTCCCCTGTGGCTGCCCTGCCTGCCACTCAGGGCCAGCGCGGGGCAGACGCTCCGTCCCGAGGCGTCCAACCCGATGGGTCGCGCCAGGCTGAGCTGGGGTTACACTCGGACTGGCAGACTCATCGTGACCCGATTCCTGACCTTGGACCGGGAGCGCAGCCCTCCCGAGATAGAGGTCTTGAGAGGTTCCGTTCCCATACTCGATCCCTGCCCGAGCACTGGAAACATCACCCCGGAAGAGAGCGGGGGGGCTGGGCCCCCCAGAGCTACGGCGTGTGACTTCTCAGCCCCGTCGGGTCTGACTTTGGAACTAAAAGGTGCTATCCCAAGTCACCCCTTGCTGGGGCGGGGGCTTCAGATGGCAGTCGAGGTGCAACGTGCTTAGCAAACCTGTGCGTTCATTTTAACGTGTGCTCGTTGTATCGAGAGCCTCACCAGACCCCCAGCATTAGACTGCAAGGTGCACAGGAGAAAAATCCTGCAATGCCGTTCTCCTCTGCTGAGAGCCGTCTATGGGTCACAGGGTGGGCCCCACATGAGCTGATGTGAGTCGTGCACAGGGCCTAGGAGCATGGGTCTGATTTAACCAACGTGGCATTGGTGAGATCAGTACAGGAATCCTGCTTCCATGCCCTCGTTTTTAAAATGGCTTTGGAAAAGTGGCCCGGAGCAGAAAAAAGCCTCCAAAGATTCCCAGGGAGAGAAAACACTTTAACGTGGGAGCTCTCCTGAGCGCTGGTTAGCTGACCCAAAAGATGAAATGGAGCATGAAGAACCTGGACAGGAGTCAGCAAGGCACCCTTGTAGCCAAGAAGGCTAATATGCGCAGGGTTGCCAGATTTGGCAAGTTTCTCTGCATCATTTTTTCCCTACCGGGATCACAAAGTGACACGTAAAGTGAGGCCTCGTGCAGCGTGGTGCGCGCTGGTTGCACACGACACTGCCTGCTACTGGCTGGGGAGCCACATCTGGAGTATTGTCGTCCCCCCCCCCAAAAGGATGTGGACGCATTGGAGAGGGTCCAGCGGAGGGCGACTAAAATGATTAGGGGACTGGAACACATGACCTGCGAGGAGAGGCTGAGGAAGTTGGGTCTGTTTAGTCTGCAGAAGAGAAGAGTGAGGGGGGATTTGAGAGCAGCCTTCAACTTCCTGAAGGGAGGTTCCAGAGAGGCTGGAGAGAGGCTGTTCTCAGTAGTGACGGATGCAGAACAAGGAGCAATGGTCTCAAGTTGCAGTGGGGGAGGTCTAGGTTGGA